AAACAGTTTTAAAATGTTTAATTTAATTATTTTAAATTGTGTATATGTGTATGCATGTGAGTGAGGGTGCCCTCAGCACTTGAGTTACAAGTGGTTGTGAGCCTCCCATCATGGATGCTGGGAACTGAACTTGGGTCCTCTGCAAGAGTATTTTAAACTCCATTTTAAAACTATTATTTATATTTTAGGATGATTAGAACCTAGCTTCTGCTGCAATAAAACCTTTGCTTGTTTCTGCTGGAAGGAAAAGGAAGGAGAACATATGGTTATTTTTTAGATAAGTCTGTAATTTTTAGAATGCTAATGTATTTCAAATTTCATAGATTTTTTTTTTACTCCAGTAGCAAATGTGTTGGTTAGTTGTGACTCAGATTTTTTTTTTTTTTTACAGTATTAAGGATTGAACCCAGGGTATAGTGCATGCTAGGCAAGCTCTCTGCACTGAGCCATACCCTCACCAGGGATTCTAGGCAATTGCTCTTCATATCTTCAGCACATTTATTTTTATTTTGAGATAGAGTCCCATCAAGTTCCCCACGCTGGCCTTGAACTCACTCTGAAGCCTAGGTAGGCTTTGAATTCCTCCTGCCTCAGCCTTCTGAGTAGCTGAAATTTAAGCCTATACCAGCAGACCTGGCTCTTTTTTAATGGGAAAAAAAATGTGCTTTCATGAAACAGGTTCCTAGGCCACTGAATTCAAGACTCCTTGAGTAATGGCATGACTGACCTGTATGTATCTGTATGTGTCTGTTCCCAGTGTCAGTTTGATGTCAGGAACATATGCCCTGGAACTGACATCAGGAGCAGGCAGGGCCTTGGGAACTTTACCCACTGAAACAGTTGGTCTAGAACTTCTTGTAGCCAGAGGCACCCTGGGATGTTGAACCTGTGTTACTTCATCCTTTCCTTGTCTGAGTAATGATTTTGTGTATTGCATTCCTGTCTAGCTATGATCTTGGCTGGAAAGGCCTACTACGATGGAGTGGCCAAGATCGGTGAGATTGCCACTGGGTCTCCAGTATCAACAGAACTAGGTGAGCTGACCATCCATTTTTACAAAAACCTAACCTGCTGTCCTAGGAGTTTGATAAGAGTGTGTCAGGTGACAAGAACCCAAAAGGGAACTGGTTGGGCACTGTAGTTTGAGTTCACCCTGACTCATGAAAATGGAGAGGTTTTTGGAGGGCAGGCAAAGCCTTAGAGGGGCCTAGGGGATGGGTAGAGGCCCCTTCCCAGGCCTCTTAGGATCTCTGCTCCTGCCTTTGCTGCCTGGGTTCTGGCGTGTCACCTCAGATCCCTGAAGTTCCAACTTGAAGAACTGTGGCCTACATTTTGAACCGAGGTGGGTGAGACAGGCCTCTGACCAGGCCAAGTGCTTCCGGTGACTCAGCTTGTGGAAAATGACTCCTTGACTCCTTTATGCTGTACTCTTGGCTCCCATGCTTCCCCAGTTGCCTTTGGTTGTGATTTTTCCGGTTTTGCTGGTATGAATGGATCCCCTGTGCAGGCAAGGAGGGTAGCCACACCCTGGGCAGCCCCCACCACAGCCAAGGGAAGCTGGGCTTCTATTTACAGAGTTATGCCACTGCGTTGCGGTCATCTCCTGCAGGGCAGGGCTACTTTGCCAGTAGACCCACATGTCACATGTCTTTACAATTTATGGGCTGTGTTTTATTGTATGGATGCTAAGAATTTGCTTTAAGGATTCTGGAAAACATAATAAAGAGAGAGAGAGTGTGTGTGTGTGTGTGTGTGTGTGTGTGTGTGTGTGTGTGTGTGTGTGTGTGTGTGTGTGTGTGTGTAAAGAGTGACATGCCCTCTACTCAGTGTCCAGTAGTCTTGAGGCTTTTCAGACTTGCCTGAGAAACTCATTGACCCCATTCATAGGCTGGAACAAGCCTTGATGCTGGTGGCAGGGTGGGGACAGGCTGGGTTTGTGTGCTCCGGCTGCTTTATGCCTAACAAGTTGGAGAAGCAGTAGACAAAGGGCACAGTGTACATCTGCAGTGATGTTGTATGGTTAGTGGCAGCACTGCCGTGGTTCATAGAATCGATCACATATGGTTTTTGAACCCCCAGCTCGTGTTCTGTGAGTGTTGTGACTTCCCAGTGTCATGATGACTGGTAGCAACTCTGAAGCACCATCAGTTTAAAGACATGCAGCCTGCCTTACATAGCAGATAGCAATCTTTCAGATATTTGGGGTTCCAGAAGCAGCTGAGATGATAATAGGGTTCCAAAAATAAGCTTATATTAAAAAGAAGCATCCCATTGTGCCAGGCAGCAGGGGGAAAAAAGTATGACCCTCACATTAAAACATATGGTGCTCTGACTCACCACCATTCAGTGTGCCATTTTAATGTTTTATGGGTCTTGCCACTGTTTAAATAAGACTTCTGTTCCACACCTTACTTTATTCAGCTGCAAGTTCATAACACTGAATCAACTATTTCCACAGTAACAGTGTTGTTATAAACAACACCTTGAAACTCCAGTTTCAGTGGGGAAAGTATGTTATGAAGGTGCAGGTTCCTTCTATGAAGAGGAAATGGAAGTAAAGCTCCTTCCAAGTTTTGCTTTGTTTCAAGTTGTCCTATTGCTTATGTCCACTGTCTCTGATTTACTAGTTTTTTACCCATTTATGGCTTTTTCCCTAGATAAAAAGTTCACCTCGGTAACCTTGCTTTGGGGGAACCTAATAATAACTATTTTTGGCTTGGATAGTTTTTATTTTGGTATTGTTTAAAATGCCATACTATATCCATTTAAATTGTATGGAAGAGGAGCAGAAAATTCACATTTTCAAAGAGTAGAAGAGAAAAAAGGACTAGAGAAATGTGAACAAATTACTTGGCACACAAGCATGAGGACCTGAGTTCAGATCCCTAGCCCTCATGGGAAAGCAGAGCATGGCAGCACATACTACAATCCCATCACTAGGAGGGAGGCAGAGACACGTGTCTCTGGGCCTTGGTGGTCAGGCAGTCTCCCCTAATAGGTGAACCCCAGATTCAGTGAGAGACCCTGTCTCAAAAATAAAGACACATAATATCAACTTCTGACCTCCACAGACATGCACACATATTCACAGGTACCTGTACACACCTTTGCCCCCCAAAAGAAAGAATAAATAACCAAAGCTAGATTGTGTTTCTTTTGTTTTCCCAATATTTTGTGTGGTTATAGCCTTTGGGTACTGGTCCTCATTACCTTATGAAAAATAAAGTTTATTTAGGACTGTCTTAGTTTGGTTTCTGTTGCTGTGATAAAACACCCTGACCTAAAGCAACTTGGGGATGAAAGAATATATTTTGCTCACACTTCCATATCACAGTTTATCATCAAAAGCAGTCAGGACAGAAACTCAAACAAGGCAGGAACCTGGAGGCGGGAGTTGATATAGAGCTGCCTGCTGGCTTGCTCCTCACAGTTTGCTCAGCCTAATTTCTTATACCACCAAAGACCTCCAGTCCAGGGATGACAGCACCACCTGCAGTGAGCTGAGTCCTCCCACAGTAATCATCAATGAAGAAAATGCACCACAGGCCAGCCTAGTTGGGGCACTTTCTTAATGGAAGTTCCTTCTTTCCAGATAACTCTAGCCTGTGTCAGGTTGACATAAAACTAGCCAGCACTAAGACTAAAGAGAAGCCAGGCATGGTGACACATGCTTGTAATCCCAGCACCTTGGAAGCTAGGGCAGAAGGATCACAAGGTCAACCTGGGCTATATATAGTGAGGCTCTGTCTCCAAAAAAGGGAGTGGGACTCTGGCTGGCAAGATAGCTTAGCAGAAAAGGTGTGTGCTGCTGGCTGACAACCTGAGTTCAATTCCAGGGACCCATATAGTAGAAGGAGAGAATTGACTCCTTAAGGTTTTTCTCTGACCTCCACGTGTCCTGTGGTCTGCGCCTGAGCACATACATACACACACACACACACACACACACACACACACACACACACACACACACTTAATTAATGTAAATTTAGAAAAACTTTAAACGAAGGACTGGAATATGGCTTAGGGGTACAGTACTTGGCTAGCACACAAACAGCCCTGAGTTCCATCCCAGCACAAAGACTACAGTATAACTTCAGTGAAACCATGAATCATTTCAAGTTTTTCATTCAGTGTGTCTTTTGAATTAACTTCTGTTGGTAAAGATGGAGTGGATTTTTAGCTGTGATGGTTTCATTTAGGCAATTCCACTTAGCATCAGTTCATCTGTTGCTATGTGAATAATTTAGTATGCTTTTGCTCAAACGTAACAAAATGTCCAGCTTACAGTGATTTAAGCAATAGGCATGTTTATTATTCCATGTAAGGCCAGGAGCAGCAAGTTCCTGTTTAGTTAATCATCACCAAGGACTCAGATTCCATCTCTTTTTCTTGTCTTAATACCCATTTCCCCATGGCCCCAAGATGGCTACCAGTCTGATTATCACATTTGTCTTCTCATTGTCTGCAAGTACAGGAAGTAAAATGTCTTCTCAGGCGTGTCCTTCTATAAAGGAGGAACCCTTGCCCAGAAGCTCCAGCACACATCCCTCCTCCTTCCAGACCCAGGTTAGGTCACACTCATCCATGTCCAGCTGCCAGAAAGATTCCTTGGTGTGGCTGGCCAAGGACTGCAGAGGAGAGGGCACAGCTGTTAGGAGACAGTCCTGATAGCAGGCGTCTCTGGCATTAATGATCTGGTTTCAGTGGTTTGGGGTGAAGGGGAAGACATTACACAAATGTTCCCTGCAGACATTTGTGATGCTTCTGCATTTTGCATGGATTTTTTTTTCTTCCCATGTGGGCTGGTGTGCATTTGCCCAGCATTTGTATACATCAGACCCTGTCACCTGTTCTCCTGGGCCCCTTGTGCTTCTTTTCCCAGAAGGCCACAGCTGCCCTTCCCATGTGTTTCTGTTTAGAGGCAAGAATCTAACCAGGAAGGAAGAAGAGCATTAGGGACTTTTTGTTTCTTCCACCTACTGAGTTTTATTGCTTACCTTTGAATGACTTGTGACTATGGACTCCAGGGTAGTTTTCCTGTGTCTGCTTCCTTTCTTCTGCTCAGTAGCTGCTTTCCTGTGTGATTCCTGCAGCCTTGTGACTGAAAATTAAGAAAACAGAGAAAAGTTAAAAATATTGCCCATAAAGTTACTACTGTGTACATCTATCTACTATTGCCATATGCCTGTACAGTCTCTCCTAAAGAGTGTGCTGCTAGATAGTGTGCCCCACTTTGTCTAGCACACTTTTCCCAGTGAGAAATATAAGACCCATCTCCAGTCACACTGTAGAAGTAATAGCCCACACTAAGTACTTGCCACCAGCTCAGATCACTGAGTTAGTTGGCAGTCTGACTTTAGAATCTGAGTTCTTTACCTCTCTGTACTGGTACTGAGACACATGGGAGAGAAAAGGGCCAGCCCAGGAGCCACTGAATCCTCAACATTAGGGGCCTTTTCAGAAAAGAGGTGAAGCCAAGCATGGTGGCACCTGCCTGTGTTCCCAGCATTCAGGATCCTGAGTTCAAGGTTAGCCTGGGCTACATAGTCATACCCTAACTCAGAACAGTGAGTGGGCTGGCAAGATGCACTTACCATCAAGTCTGAAGACCTGAGTTTGCTCCCTCAAACTCACATGATAGGAGGAGAGAACTAATTCCTGCAAATTGTGTTTTGACCATTACATGTATACACACTGTGGCAAGTACTGCCCAACCTCTCAAATTTTTATGTAATTTTAAAATTAAAAAAAAAAAGAGAGAGAGAAAGTTGTCAAATTTAATCTTAGTGGCAGAGCAGGCCTGGCCAGTATATTTAGTGATGACCAGTTCCCCCTGAAAAGGATGGTTCCTCCAGATCTGTCTGCTAATAACAGGAGTCAAGAAATTAGTGATATTTAAATAACAGGTAAATCTCACACACACACACACACACACACACACACACACACACACACACGCGCGCGCGCGCGCGCGCGCGCGCGCGCACACACAGTGTCTTACTGTTCACCCAAATTTGGGTCTCATTAAATTCTCACTGAAAATGTAGGGGAGGAGTTCTTCCCCCATCACCTGGTGTCTTTAGTCATTCCATTCATTCCTGGGTGAATTTTTTCTGAATGATTTGCAGGTGCAATGATCCCTTAGGGGTGGCTGCTAGGCCTAAGAACAAACTTAGCAATTACCTCCTCTGCAGAGGTAAGAGATTACCCACCTCCATGGTGACCACAATGGGTCAGTCTCCCTGGAGATGTACTTTGTAGTCAAACAAGACAGAGCAACACTCGGGAAGCCCAAGATCCCTATGGAGGTGGACAGGTCCAGCTGCCTTCATTGTAGCGTGTACACCATCCAGCTGTAGCCAGGGAAAGACCCTGTGCCCAGGACAATGAAGCCAGGCTACTGTTTACTGTGCTGAGACCTCTAGGTGGGAGGCTGCTTGTTACTGGAGAGACCTCCAATAGAGTATGTTGACAGTTTGTTGCTGCCTACGGGGTGCAGCAGAGCTTGAGCAACACTTGACCTTTATGGGTGGGTTGGGCGTGCTTAAAGGAGGTGAAGGTCATGCTGTGCAGGTTGTTTGAAGAGGAAATGAGATACTGTGCCTCCCGGCTTCTAAAGTATCAAAGACTATAAGATGCCTCTAGTCCCCACTTCACAAACATTTGGAAACTCAGCCAACTACTAGTGTTCTTCCTTAACATTCTTTTCATCCATAAAGTAGGTAATGTGAGTTTGTAAGAATACACATTTTTCCATGGTCACACACACACACACAGATTAAAATAGAAAAGAAATGAAAAACAATAGCCTGTAACCAAATGCCAGTGGAATTGATAAGCCGTAGCTGACTGAGCCAGTTGTCCTGCTCTCTTTCAGCAGACTCTGCACATGCAACCTCAGGAACTAAAAGAAGCCCAGATTTATTAGCATAATTGAAGGAAGTGGTTGTGATGAAAAGGATGAAGATATTTCTGAGAAAATGATGCTAGCAAAATCCCTTCACATGAAAGGAACTCCTCAAGACATTTCAACACCATAACCACAAAGGATAGAACGTTAGAAGCTTTTTGTGATACCTGCTGTGAAGTAAATTTTTTATCTTTGTCCAGCTTAGTAGCATAGAGCTTCTTACCTTTGACTCTCAGTCTCTGGAGGGATAAGTCCTTGTATGCTAAGCAGCTGACTGACAACTGGGACTCCCGAGGCTCAAGATGGGGGCAGTTTGCCAGCAAGTGATTTAACCAGTCGTGGCTACCTTAAGAAGCTTCTATAAGACGGACTGGGTCAAGGGGAGCTCTAGACAGGTTGGTCATGGAGCGTAGTGCCCAGGGAGGGAGAGGGAGCCTGTCCCCTTGCTCTAAGTGTCCCTCTAGGAGCCCTTACTTTGTTTGTTTATTTTGTGTTTTTTGTTTTTTGGGGGTTTTTTTTGTTTTTGTTTTTTTGGTTTTTTTTTTTTTTTTTTGAGGCAGAATTTCTCTGTAACCCTGGCTGTCCTAGAACTCACTCTGTAGACTAACCTGGCCTCAAACTGAGAGAGATCCACCTGCCTCTTCCTCTTGAGTGCTTGGATTAAAGATAGTGCTACCACTACCTGGCCAAGAGTTCTTCTAATGAACCAGTAATGTTTACCCGTTCTGGGAGACCCCCATGCCAAACCCTTGGAAGACAGGGTGGGAACCCCAGCTTATAGCTGGCAGGTGCAAGTGAAAGAGATAATCTGCTTTCTATCAGCTGTGCAATAGGAGCAACCTTGTGAGACTGAGCTCTCAGCTGGTGAGATCTGTCACTGTCTTCAGGTAGACGGTGTCAGAATTGAATTTGAGGCCACCCAGTTGTCATCTGGTGCAGAACTGCTTTCTGGGGGTGTGTGAGCCTGGTCACAAAGCATTCTGTGTTTCGAAAATATAAGAGAAGAATTTGAGTTTGCCTTTTCCTACCCCACCCCCCATATTGGGACTCAAACCCTCAGCTTTGCACATGTCAGGCAAATGTAGCTCTACCTCTGAGCTGCATCATCCATCTTTTTCATACATATCGAAGCATATCCAAACTTGAAAGGATGTGACAGTTTGTTAAAGCACAGGAAAGATGCTGTGGGTCCTTATATGGAGTTGTATGAGAAGCCAGCAAGTGCTGTTGAAATTATTCCTGAGTAATTCCTTTTGTTTGTTTTGATACAGGGTCACACTATGTAGCCCTTTCCTCAAACTCTTGTCCTCCTGCCTCAGCCTTTCAAATGCTGGCATTACAGCTGTATGCCACCATACCTGGTTTACCCTAAACCGGCTTTGAAAATAGAAGTCAACTGATGTAGTGGTACCCACCACCCAAGTACTCAGGAAGCTGAGGCAGGAGGATCACAAGTTTGAGGCTAGCCTGGGCTATCTAGTGAGACCCTGCTCAGAACAAAAAATAAAGTAAAAACAACAAATTAACTTTAGGTCTTAATGTTTCCAGTGATTTAAGTTACATATCAAGACAAAACAAGGGGTGCTGGGTACAAAACTCAATTGGTAGAATGCTTGCCCAACACACACAGATCCCTGGCTTCAGTCCCCTAACAGCATAAAAACAGACATTGTGGCATATGCCTGAAATCCCAGCACTTTTTGGGGGATGGAAAGGGAGGAGAAGGATCATACATTCAAGGTTATTCTTTTTTTTTCTTTTTTTTAAATTTTATTTTATAATTTAATTTTACATATCAGCCACGGATTCCCTTGTTCTCCCCCTTCCCACACACACCCTCACCTTCCCCCAGCCCACCACCACCCCCATTCCCATTCAAGGTTATTCTTAACAACACAGTGAGTTTTCATACCAGCCTGGGCCACATGAGACTTCGTCTCAAAAAAAGAGCAAACCTTAATATCATGCAGGTGCTTCAACATGAGTGATCGTGACAGAGGGTCGATAGGAAAAACTGTTTCTGAATGCCTGGGCTTAACAGACATTAAGGACTGGATGCCAATAACCACAACACTCTAAGGAACTCAATCCTTAACCATTTGGGCTTGCTGGGAGGAACAGACTCGGAGCTCTGTAGTTCTGTAGACAGGGTGTAGCAGGTAAAGTGGTCTAATCCATTGTGTTTAACTGTTAAATAATAACTCAGGCTCAAATTCGTGACTTCGGGGTGCCAGGGTGTGACCTGTAGTCAGGCACATAAAACTTGATGCCATATCCGTAGCTGAAATTGGCAGCATGCTGACCTTTAATACGTAAGAGGCAAGCGCAGTGTGAGTAGGATGTCAGGCTGATCTCTAAAGCAAGCAGCACTCCCCCCCCCC